TGTTAGCCACTTCGTTCAGTTACGTATTGCTGACAGATTTCACATGTATAGGCCCCCGGCTACTAGGCTGTCCTTTTCATCAAGGCTCGAAACCACGACTCGAGAAACCACCGGCCGCGAGTCACGACACCGTGACCACTAGGTTACCGCGGCCACACGATATCTATTTAAGAGTGAACAGTGTTTGTTTAAAATCAAAGAGGCTATTATTCAATCTGTTTTCCCATTAAGTAAAATATATGTAGCGGTTAAAGGATCATTTTCGGGATTAATTTATGTTTTTCTGCACTTAACAAGAGTTGTACATGTACTTACTTCGTGAAACCTAAAAAGAAAATCTATAAAGAAATTTAAACTACTTATAAGGTTTTGAAACATTTTTCTTGACTTTTCGAAAAACATTCGATGTTTTCGCACAGAATTTCAAAGTTCATGGTAATTTCTTTTGGTCCATTTCATTCCACTTGAGCAACGAATAATGCGAGCATTTGTATTTGAAGATGTAAACATGTATTTAGAAAAGATTGCGTGAAGCTCGCATAACTCAGTATGTGTTTGTGATTCCGTGATGTTTTCTTATTCATGATGGAGTGTCAAGATGTAAATGTACGAATAAGACAGGTTGTTCCATGGTGTAATGGTTAGCACGCTGGACTTTGAATTGGAACCTAGACGTTACTTTTTTTCTCTCTTTACATCAATTTCTAACTCTTTCAAAAGGAACATCTTGAGACAAGTGGAAACGTTCGTAAATCTTGGAAACATTTTCTTGACTTTTTTCATGACATTCGATGTGTTCGTGAAAACGTCAATAAGAGCAAACAAAACTTTTTATGAGTTTGACTCCATTTCCTTGACAAGCATTAAAACGAGCATTTGATTACTTTCGAACATTGATCCATGCATACAGCTATTAAAGGCGATAGCCAAATTAAGTCTGCACGTACATTCGATTTTAATATATAATCATGCAAGTCAAAATAAAAGGAGAAAACAGTGAATTTGTTTCTATGGTACAATGGACAGTACGCTGGACTCCGAATCCAGTGGTCCGAGATCAAACAATTTTTTCGGGGAAACCTTTTTGTTTTTTTCCTTCAAAAAATTACGTTTTAATTTTTCCCTTTTATTTGAATTCATAACGATATTTACTGCAAGTATAAAAATGTTTTATTCTATATAATGTATTGTTTTTTAATTACTTTGTTCAAACATTACTTGAATTATCGGATGGTCATTGTTCAGTTAACTTGTATTGCTTGCAATAAATTGAAACTTCATCTAGACTGAAACTTTTTGTTTGTTTGTTTCCTTCTCATCAGATGAATCCAATAAACATTTCTGTGCTACCCGCTCTGAAAAGAATTCAGTACAATTATGTTGGTCTGAAACAGTGAAAGAGAAAAGCGGTATGAAAAATAAAGGTAAAGATGTAGATAAAAAGTCATGTTTTAGCATGTCCTGCGTGATTCGAGTTTTAAATCGCTCCAAAATGAATCCAAACGCACAATTTTTAAATTCAAAGTCGTTGTCAACTGGAAAGAGAGACGACATTTTATTTTAGCATTGATGTCGTAAATCAAAGGTATTAAAATGAAAGGAGTATGAAAAAATACTGAAATCCAAAAATCACTGATCTTTAATGGGGACGATTGCGAGTCTCTTTCAACTATATAACGATGAAACTGATATTCCGTCTGTGGTGTCGGATTTTGAAACGGTCGCTTGAATCCCAACCACATTCACCATAAAACCTTGCTGAGTTCAAACCAGGAATAATTCTCTGCTTCTCTTTGGCTAGGTAATGATGCAACTGATATTCCGCCTAGGCAATGTTATTTTGTAATAAACACTTGATTACTAATCGTATTTATGAAAACACGCACACACACACAGAGCGTAAGCCATTTAGAGCCAGTGATCACGTTTATAGTAAAATTATCAGCAAAATGGTTATCAAAAGAAAGTTACGAATTTGGCAACTTTTAACTTTCGCGTCCTTGGCGATCAAACAAAAGTATTGATCGCCAAGGACGCGAAAATAGGAACCACAAAAGATGTGTGGTGCGTGAGAGTTTTTTGAACTTTTGATATTTGTTTGAATAGCTTTGTGAGGCTTCCAAATTTACACGGAACAAGAAATTCTATCAAGGTCTAATCTCAGTTTTAGAGCTATATAATTTTTATTCTTCGTACGTAATGTGTTTGATAAACTCCAAAAGTTGTGGCGCTACGCTCTTCGCCATTTTTTCGTCTCTCAAACTCCTTCTGATTGTGTTTGAATACAAATTTGCTTCTAACGAAGGAAATGGGACTTGTGAAGACGTGTGTACATTTAGTGAGGTGCGATGAATATCCATTTAAAAAGACGTAATGCAATGATGCTTAGGAAAGCACCAAAGAATTTGAGTTTAGTGGATGGTAGTTTAGTATGTGACAGATTACGAGTTGACGTTCACGAGTGAAGCATGGGTGGCAGACCTGCGCTGAAGTTGACGTTCACGAGTGAAGCATGGGTGGCAGACCTGCGCTGAATAGAGAGAAGCGATGAAGGGTTAGGAACTGGGAACCTCAACTCAAACTATTCTGTGCATTCGAACCAAGGAAATTAGAAACAGATTATTTGGGTTTACTAAAAGATGATTAGGAAGCGTTTTGTAAGAATTCCACGCATAGAGTAAGAAATAGGGAATAAATTTTAAGAATCCACAATTTGAGTAAAGAACATGATTATCATCCGATTTTGACATGCGTGTAACGTGGGCAATTCACGTGTTTCCCTCCAACTCACATCAGAGTTCTCTTTCTGATATTATTTGTAAATTCAATTCATTCTAATCAGATGAAACGTTATCTATGCAGATTAAATTCGATATAAGAAATGTAGTGAAATAATTTAAGAAGATACATATACAAGTGACGAAAACTTTTTATATTAGAATTATTGGATAGTAATTTATAGCTGGAATATGGTGGAAATTACAACTTAAGAAGAGATTATCGGTTTCAAACCTTCTTTGATTAAGGATTCTTTGTAGAGTTATTTCGCATGGGAGGAAATCGTGTTTCTTGCTACCGTACACTTATCAATTAAATTTTGATCTTTTATTTTTTAAATATGCTCAATATATATAATCTCTACAAATCTCATGCTTGATATATTAAAAAAAATGATATAAGCAAAATTAAATAAGTAAAAGAATAGACGTATTCAAGCCTCCTGGCTTTAAAATATTTTTTCAGTATATTCTTTTGAAGTTCTAATGTTTGTCATAGATGTTTCAAGGAGGCTATTTAAAAAAAATCTTTTTAGATGAATTTTTCAATTTTTTCCATAGACCGCTACTGGCACCTCAATTTTAGAACTATTAGTTTCGATGTGCTCCTTTATAAATATCTTCATTTTTTCTCTGTCCTTTTCCTCAGCGGGAAGTGTGAAAGTAGCAAGAAACAATGTATGACCTGGTGTTGATCTGATACAATTCGTTTTCCGTTATGTGCCATAAGATATTTGATATTCTTTTTAAAATTTAATGAACGAGAGGGTTCCACCGAGATTTGAACTGACTCAGGATCAAAGTCCAGTGTGCTAACTATTACACCATGTGAACCACCTGTCTTGCATTGCGTACATTTACATCTTGAGTACTCCATCATGAATAAGAAAACATCACGGAATCACAAACACATACTGACATTATGCGAGCCTCACGCAATCTTTTTCACATGTTTGAGCACTCTTCAAAACAAATTCATCATTATTCATTGCTCAAGTGGAATGAAATGGACCAAAAGAAATTAAAATGAACTTCTTGAAATTCTGTGCAAGACATCGAATGTTTTTCGAAAAGTCAAGAGAAATGCTTAAAAACCTTATAAGTAGTTTAAATTTCTTTATAGATGTTCCTTTTTAGGTTTCACTGAGTAAGTACAAGTACAACTTTGTTAATGAAAACATAAATTAATCTCTGAAAATGATCTTTTAACCGCTATCATTATGCATTTTACTTAATGGGAAAACAGATTGAATAATAGCCTCTTGCTTTGATTTTAAACAAACACTGTTCACTCTTCAATAGATATCGTGTGGCCGCGGTAACCTAGTGGTGTCGCGGACTCGCGGCCGGTAGTTTTCGTCGAGTCGTGGTTTCGATCATGCCACAAAGGTCAGCCGAGTAGCCCGGCTGATACATGCGAAATCTGTCCAGTCTCCCCGTTATCCTGGTGTAAAAGTTAGGAGTGGGAGGTGCCCGCTCAAGTGTCGTCCTCGTCACTTGACCGAGGTTCAAAATTACGAGATACGTGTCACCCCTCGTGTTGCTTCTAGTGGGACGTTGATAAAACCAACCAATAAATATAACAATACCAACTAAACATAGTAATAAACTGCTCAAAATGTAATATTTTCTATAAATATCTCTATACCTATAGTAACCATATAAGAGTTAATCCAATGAAATGAATAAGGAAATTTTTAAAGGTGAAGTTGTCACTAAAAAGAAGAAGAAAAAGTAACGTCTAGGTTCCACCGAGATTTGAACTCGGATCACTGGATTCAAAGTCCAGCGTGCTAACCATTACACCATGGAACCGCTGGCATCAGCTGCACAGGTGTATTTTGAATTTTATTATTGAACAACGCTTTCAGATGTGGCGAGCTGAATTAATTTCCACACGCGATCTTATCTTAGGTGTTTACGACTCCATAAATGTTTTATTGTGCGGCGAAAAGAACATTCTCATGTTCGAATTAATATGACAGACATGAGAATAACACCAGAAAATGCATATCTT